CTGTGAAGGCATCCGGGCCTGGGCTTTTGTTTGCTGGGAGAGTCTTGATTACTACTTTAATTTCCTTAGTTGTTATTGGTCTGTTCATGTTTTCTGTCTCTTCCCAGTCCAGTTTGGGGAGACTATGTGTTTCTAAAAATTTGTCCATTTCTCTTAGATTGTCAAATTTATTGCCATATAATTGTTCATAGTAGTTGTTGATGATCTTTTGTATTTCTGTGGTATCAGTTGTTACTTCTCCTCTTTCATTTCCGATTTTGTGTATGTGGATTCTCTCTCTTTGTTTCTTGTTGAGTCTAGCTATGGGTCCATTAATCTTGTTTATCTTTTCACAGAATCAGCTCTTTGTTTCATTGATCCTTTGAAATGTTTTTTTGGTCTCCATGTCATTTATTTCTGCACTGATCTTTACTATTTCCTTCCTTCTACTTGCTCTGGGGTTTTCTTTTTGTGTGCTTTCTAGTTTTTTAAGTTGTGAGGTTAGATAGTCTATTAGAATTTTTTTTTTTTTTTTTTTTTTTTGCTTTTTGCCGTAGGCCTGTAGTGCTATGAACTTCCCTCTCAGAACTACTTTTGCTGCATCCCATAGATTTTGTGTTGTTGTGTGTTCATTTTCATTGGTTTCCAGGAAGTTTTTAATTTCTTCCTTGATCTTCTTGGTAATCCATTCATTGTTTAATAACACGCTATTTGGCCTTTGTGTTTTCAAATGTCTTTGCATGTTCTTGTTGCAATTGATTTCTAGTTGCATGCCATTGTGATCTGAGAAGATGCTTGATATGATTTCAATCTTCTTGAACTTGTAGAGACTTAGTTTGTGCCCTAACATGTGGTTTATCTTTGAGAATGTCCCATGTGTTCTTAAGAAGAATGTGAATTCTATAGTTTTGGGGTGTAATTCTCTGTAGATATCTATTAAATCCATTTGGTCTAGTGCTTCATTCAGAGTCTCTGTTTCCTTGGTAATTTTTTGTCCAGAGGATCTATCCAGTGTTGTCAGCAGGAAGTTGAAGTCCCCTGCTGTGATTGTATTGCTGTTGATTTCTCCTTTGAAGTCCTCCAGGAGATTTTAAATATATTTTGGTGCTCCTATATTGGGTGCATATCTGTTTATGAAGGTTATATCTTCCTGTTGGATAGATCCTTTCAATATTATGTAGTGGCCTTCTTTGTCTCTAGTTATGGCTTTCATTTTGAAATCTATTTTATCAGATATGAATATTGCTACCCCAGCTGTTTTTATTTTTGTTTGCTTGAAAGATTTTTCTTCATCTCTTCACTTTCAACCTATGTGAGTCTTTTGTTGTGAGGTGGGTCTCTTATAAACTATATATATATATATATATATATATCATGATTTCTTATCCAATCAGCTACTCTGTGGCTTTATATCAGAGCATTCACTCCATTTACATTTAAGTTGATTATTGATATGTACTTATTTATTGCCATTTTTGTTTAGTGTGGTTATATTTTTCTTTCTACTTCTTCTACTATTTACAACAGTCCTTTTAACATTTTTTGTTGTGCTGGTTTGGTGCTAATGTATTACCTTATCCTTTTTTGGGGGGGGTCTGGGAAGATCTTTATTCGACCTTTTATTTTGAATGATAGTCTTGCTGGGTAAAGTAGTCTTGGATTCAGATACTTCTTTTCCATGACCTTGATTACTTCGTGCCATTCCCTTATGGCCTGTAGTGTTTCTGTTGAGAAGTCAGCTGAGGGCCTTATGGGGGTTCCTTTGTAGGTAACCTATTGCTTATCTCTTGCTTCCTTAGAATTCTCTCTTTATCTTTAATATTTGGCATTTTAATTACTATGTGTCTTAGTGTGGCCTGTGTGGGTTCTTCTTACTTGAGGCTTTCTGTGCTTCTTGAACTTGAATGCCTTCTTCCTTCACCAAATTAGGGAAGTTTTCTGTCACTGTGTCTTCAAGTATATTCTCTAACCCTTGCTCATTTTCTTCTTCTTTGGGGAAGCCTATGATGCAAATATTATTACGTTTCCAGTTGTCCCATAGTTCTTTTAAGCTCTCTTCCTGTTTTTTAATTGTTTTTTTCATTTTGGTTTTCTGATTGGTTCATTTTTTTCTACCCTGTCTTCTAATTCATTGATTCGGTCCTCAGCTTTCTCTACTCTGATGTTTAGACCTTTCAATGTGTTCTTTATTTCTGACATGTCATTCTTCATTTCTTCTTGGTGGTTTTTAATATCCAGTTGGTTGATTTTCAACATTTCTATGTCTTTACTCATGGTGGTGATGTCCTTACTCATGGTGTTGTGCTTTCTCAAGATCATGACTCTGAATTCTAGCTCTGTTAAGTTGCTTAACTGCACCTCATTTATCTCAATTCAATAGAGGTCTCTTGTTCTTTCACTTGGCATTTGTTTCTTTGTTTCACCATTTTGGCTATCATAGTGGGCTTTGGAGCCTGCCAAATTTTCCCTGTGGGTGCTGGAATTCTGCTATTTGTGGTTCCCTCTCCTTGGTTTGGATGAGCATGAAAGGACCCACATTAAACACCACTGTCAAGTCTTACTTTCCTGGGCAGTTGTAAGCCCAGGAATGGTATAGTTATCCTCTAGCTTTTTGCCTGGAGGCTATTAGTCGTGTTTACATGAAGAGCCTTGGGTTCTCCGTTGAATGAAAACTTCCTCAGGTGCTCAGCATAAGGGGATTTCCTGAGGGTGGGTCAGATGCTGGTTGTTAATGAGCCTCAATTTGCATTTCAATGGCCCACCTGGGTGGGGTAGGATCTTCAAGGGAGGGGCCAATGCCTCTCCCCAGAGCCCTGGGAAGGAGTACGATGCCCACTGTCCTGTGTGGCTGCAACTCAGCAAATGCTCTGAGTGCCCTCTAAATCCCGAGTGTCCCCACACAGTTCCAGTCCAGTTGCCCTCCCTCTGCCGGAGCCCAAGGTGATTAGCTGTGGCTATTTTAGCATCTGTCCTGGCTCTGCATGCTGTGGAGCCACTTGGGAGTTTAACCCCAAGGGCGCTGCTCACAGCTAAGTCCACTGTCATCCCTGGGCTCCCAGCCCCGTCTTGCGCCTGTGCAGTCTAACTGGGTTCAGTGACCCTGGTTATATGGTCCTTGCAAGGTGCTTTTCTGTTGCTTTTTTTCCTATGATTTGTCTTTATTTTAGTTGTAATTCCAGTTTGGTCCTGGGAGATGGTCTCTGTAGCTTCCATTCACTCTGCTGCCATTATGGAATCCTTATGTCTGGCTTCCTTGATTCAACGTCATGGTTGTGAAATTCATATATATATATATTTATAGTCCATTTATTCCCATTTCCATATTGTCATCCATTGTTTGCACCTACCACAGTTTATTTTTCTTTTCTACTTTTCATGGGTATTTGGGTAGTTTGCTATTTTCTATTCCAACCAATAATGCTTTAAACATGTTTTAAACACTTTATTATTATTTTTTTTTTTGGTGAACTTAATGCATTCATTTACATTTCTAGGAATAGAATTTCTGGTTTCTGTATATCCCATGTTAGTAGATAGGCTTGTGTATATCCCACTTTAGTAGATGCTGCCAAACAGTTCTCCAAAGTGGTTGCACCAATTAGCAGTGCAGAGAGCTCTGGCCTCTGTCATTTTGCATTATCCCTCTGTAACCCCCTATCTTGGGCAATTTTCAGCTGCCACCACTGTGACTATCTGAAAGTATGCTGTGAGGGGATTTCATTTGAAAAAGGCTATACTCTGGAGTTCTCTTTCCTATGCTTTCTTAAGTAGCATACTTTCTGTAGCCACATCAGTTGAGACTGCTTAGCATCTGCTCAAGTATGAAATTAATCTTTACGTAATGCTTTCTGGGATTGAAGGGGATGCAACTACAGGAAACCATTCTGGTTATTGAGATTTGTTTTTCAGGATTATAGTCTCAAAATGTCCCTGATTCCCTGGATATTGAAGCTTACAGAGTGAATGAGTGAGAACTAAATTTGCTTTCAGAAAAGGAACATAAGCAGATGTTAAAGAGAGTTAAAAGAATCAGTATGAATTGTAATTGTGATTGGATTTTGTGGGTTCAAAACGTGGCTCCATCACTTATTGTGTAACTTTATGCAATTACTTAACATCTCTGTGCCTCAGTTGTCTCAGCTACCAAGTGGAGATATTTTTAACATCTACCTCACAGGAATAGATTTATGAGGACATATATGTGAAGCAGTTAGAAGAACTCCTGGCATGTGGTAGTAACTATGTGAATGTTAGCTGTATTAGTGACTATTTTAAGTCTTGAACCCTAGAAGCATTGCCTGAGAGGAGATTCTTGTTCAAGTTCAATTGAAGGAGTATTCTCAGAAGAGAGGAAGGATGGGAAGCAGGACAGGGCAGTGGAAGGAAGTAATCAAAGATGTCGTTCAGCTGGAGTTTAGCTTTAGTCTAATCCTATGGAGGCTCTTGGGACATAAATGGCACCAGAATTGTCCCACCTTGAAGCAAGTCACTGGCTATGGGCAACTGGGAACAGACCACCCTTGGAGTGGACACTCTGCTCCTGTGAGCTAAGGCCAATCCTCCAGAGAAGGGATAGCTGTGAGCTCATAGCAGCCAACAGCTCACAGCAGCTGGGGGCTGGGCACTCTTGCCAAAAAGATAATCTGAGTGGGGCCACCAATGCTGTCTATTGTTCTTGACCAGGCTTTTATTTGTAGTCAAGTCAGAAGAGCCGTAAGACCAGTGCTAAAGAAGAACTTTTAGAGGGAAAAAAAGGTACCTTTCTAGAATTTTTTTTTTTTTGGTCAGGAACAAGATGTCCTCATGTACTCATGAGCACTAAAGTCTGTACCTGCATGACTGATGAGCATGTGAGTGTACAATTTCCCCCACCAGTAGTTGCCTTGCTAAAGGCTTAAAGTATTAAGGCTCTCCACATAATACTGCTCTCTCCATTCAGCTGCCCCCTGCTTAGCCCTGTTTCTTGGGACATTTACCTTTCTAGACCACCACTTTTAATGTAAGTTTTTCTCTGCCCATAGCCATCTCTATTCCTGTGGGAGAGATGAAAAGAAATTACAGAAGGCATCATCTATTTGAGGCTCACTGGATCTGTGGTGCTTCATAGTGAAATGTCGCCATACCACCAGCTCATGACTTAATCAGCATTTAGATAATCTGCCCCTCTCTGTGGGAGATGGAAGTAAGTCAGCTCTGCAAGAGCATTTGGTTTCTAGGAGGTGGCTCTGCCAGCTGTGGCTCTCTCAGCAGCCAGATTTCCACTCACACCGAACAACATTAAAGCAAGATGAGTCACTGTGTGGACAAATAGGAAGCAGCTTACTTTCCTGACTCTGCACCTGGGGAATGCAGAGGGAGCCTGTGAACACCCTGAAGCTAATGGGGGTGGGGTTTTAATTTACCTGATGGAGTCAGTCTCACACTTGTGTGTATGTGTTTTCTAAATTCAGTTCAACAAACTGTAAGACATGCTCATCAGTCTGCCTGGGAGGTCAAATCTCAGAAATGAAAATAGGATGTGCAATAGCACTAAGCTAAAATCTGTCATATGTATCATTTCTAAGCATTGGTTCATTCATTAATTCATTCATTAATTCATTCATTCGACTGGTATTCATCAAGTATCCACTATTTGCCAGTTTGTGTGCTCCATAATGGACCTATCAAGGAATCAGCCACAAAATAAATAGCCATAATTGTGATGAGTGCTAAAAGGCCAAACCCAGCAAAAACGTGGGCTCTAGCACATTGCTCACTACTGCCAGGAGCAGTTGGGAAGTTTTTCTAGCATAAGGATTGCTGCTTTTGACACACACGAAGCCCATGGACTAAACAGAAGGCCAAAACCTAAAACAAAATTAGATTTTGCATTCCAATGCTTTGAATGCAATGAATGACCACACAAATCCCTGACAGTTTGTTCACATATTCATTTGACAAACACCTGAACTGGATGCACCAACTGGACTAATTTCTGATTCTTCAAGATCATTTTCATAATTTCTGTAGTGGCTGCTCTGCCACTACAGATATACTAGAAGACTAGCTGGGTAGGTGAGAAGTTAAAAGGAAAGCCTAATGGAAAAATAAAATGATTTCATCAAGAAAAAATGCTAATTATGGTTCCTAAGCCTTTCCCCTAAGGACATTTTACAGCAGGTAGTGAATTTTTGTGTGCTAAGCAGGAGATTTTGTTTATGCCGTTACCCCTGAGGAACAACAGGAGCGCTGGCCAATGTTCCGTGTGATTGTTGGTCACTATGTGACTCAGTGGTCAAAACAAAACCCATGGGACCTGCCTACTGAGGCCTGTGCTTCACCATCAGTTGTTACTTCTTCATTTGTTTTTATGGCTGGAGAATTTGGCTCTTTAGAATGGCATTGAATGAAGTCAGTGTAGCCATCTGTCTAATGTATGGAGGCAGCATAGGCCAGTTAGGCACAGCAGCTGCAATAATAGCCATAGGTACCGTAATAGTAACAATAATAGCAATACCAATAATAATAGTAACAGTAATAGTAGGAATAGGTACAGTAACCATTTATTGTATGTGTCAAACACTGTATTTAGCACTTGTCTGGATTATCTCACTTAATTCTCTCACTAGTTCCAGGATGTAGGTTCTGATAGAGGTCTGCTAACTTGCCCAGGGTCACAACAGCTTAAGTGGCAAACCCAGAACTGAAATCAAGATTTGTCTAACTGCAAAACTCATACTCTTAATTATTTTGTTTGATTGCCTCTCAACAAAGTGAGCTATGGCTTAAAAGAAAAAATAAAACTGCCAGTTAAAGCTCTATGACTATGGTGAGGCTATTTAAAAACTTTGCCCTTTGATTTTCTTCTCTAAAAATTGCACACAGCACAGAAGGGTGGTGAGAATTAAGTGGATTAATTAATTTAAAGTCTCTGGCACACAGTAGGCACTCAGTAAATGAGAGCTCGCTTTCTTCCTGCAAAAGCCAGTTGGATTTCTTTGCAAGATGGAAATTAAGGTAGCATTATCTCAAATTAAAGCTTTCCAGAGGTCTAAAACTTAACACTACCTGAGTTTCCCCAGCCCAGGAAGGAGGCTAGCAAATATCCTCAGCTAGGTACCCACTCCTGAGAAAACCCTGATCCCTGCCAGGAAATGGTAACAACTGTGACTACTTTTGTTAAATTGAGTTACTGATGTGGAAACAGAAGCCGGTACATTGCCATCTGAAGATTTAGTGTATAACCATGTGATATTGTAGTTACATTGAGAGAAAAGTGCTAAAAATCCAGAGCTGTCGGCCAATGAAAATTTTCACTTTTAATAATAGAGCTCCTGACAGTTTGAGAGACTCCTTCCCTGATTGGTTGTTGAAGCTTCCAGGGAGTGAACCCAGTGTGACTTCTCATCACTGTGTTATGATTGGGCATTGAGTCACACTGCCACCCCTAACCCCTATAGCACTCCCCAATTGCTCTTCCTGTCAGCTTTCCAAACCAGGGCACAGTCATAGTCCTACAAACTGGCTGAGATCCTCCTGTAACAGAGACGGCTTGAGGAGTGCTTGGTCAAGGCCTGGGTTTAAGTATTGGCTCTACTTCAGGTCTGCAGAATTTTCACAATTGGTCTTGTCAGGTATATTTAGTCTTTTCAAAGAACCACTTTTGGCTTTGCAGAGTTTTACTATTGTACATAACATGTTGTTTTCTTTGTCTTTATTATTTTTTTCCTTCAACTTTCTTTGAGTTTAATGTGCAGTATTTTCCCTTATTGAAATGAATATTGAGATCACTGCTTCTAATCTTAATTCCTAATTTATGATTTTGAGTCCATAAATTTTCCTGTAAGCATAGCTTTAGCTGCATTCTACAAGTTTTGCTGTGCTATATTTTTACTATCACTTAGTCCAAAGTATTTTCTTTTTGTTTTTAATTAATTAATTAATTAATTAATTTTTGTTACAGATGTTTCTCCTTTTCCCCACAATGATACCCCTCTCACCCTCCCTCCCTGCCCTGTTCCCAGCTTTGTTGTCCATGTCTATTGTTCATGCATACATGCATATAAGTTCTGTGGTTTATCTCGCCCCCCAACCCCCTTTTCTGAGGATTTTCAGTCTGTATCCCACATCACCGTCTCTAGAATACCCCATTCCTCAGACTGTTATGTTCATTATATAATACAAATAAGTGATATCATGTGATATTTGTCTTTCTCTGCTTGGCTTGTATCACTTAGGATAATACTCTCCAGGTCCCTCCATGTCATCTCAAAGGATAAGAGGTCTTTCTTTCTTACAGCTGAATAGTACTCCATTGTGTATATGTACCACTGCTTTTTTATCCATTCATCTACTGATGGACATTTGGGCTGTTTCCAGACCTTAGCTATTGTAAATAGTGCTGCTATGAACATGGAGGTACATATATTCTTTATGATTGGTGTTTCAGGCTTCTTAGGGTATATTCCTAGGAGTGGGATCACTGGGTAAATGGCAGATCAATTTTTAATTTTTTGAGGTATCACCATATTGTTTTTCATAGTGGCTGTACCAGTCTGCATTCCCACCAGCAGTGTACTAGAGTCCCCTTTTCTCTATACCCTCGCAAACACTTGTTGTTTGATAATTTGTTGATGGTGGCCATTCTGACAGATTTGAGGTGATACCTCATTGTTGTTTTAATTTGCATCTCTCTGATGATTAGTGATGTTGAGCATTTCTTCATATGTCTCTTAGCCATTTGACTGTCCTGTTTGGAGAGGTGTCTATTTAAGTCCTCTGCCCATTTTTTAATTGGGTTCTTTGTCTTCCTTTTGTGGAGCTGTATGAGCACTCTATATATATTGGAAATTAACCCCTTATCTGATGTATCATTGGCAATTATGCTCTCCCATACAGTGGGTTGCCTTTCCATTTTGATGGTTGTTTCTTTTGCTGTGCAGAAGCTTTGGAGTTTGATGTAGTTCCATGTGTTCATTTTCTCCTTTGTTTCTGTTGCCTTAGGTGATGTCTCAGTGAAAATTTCACTGCTTATGATGTCTGAAATTTTGTTGCCGACATTTTCTTCCAGGATTTTTATGGATTCATGAGTCACATTTAAGACTTTTATCAATTTAGAGTTTGTTCTTATGTACGGTGTAAGTTGATGGCCTAGTTTCATTTTTTTGCATGTAGCTGTCCAATTTTCCAAACATCGTATATTAAAGAGGCTGTCTTTACTCCACTGTATGCTCTTGCCACCTTTGTCAAACAATTGAGAATATTGCCTTGGGTCCATTTCTGGGTTCTCTATTCTGTTCCATTGATCTATCTTGTGCCAGTACCAGGCTGTTTTGATTACAGTAGCTTTGTAGTATAACCTGAAATCTGGTAATGTGATCCCTCCAATTTTGTTCTTCTTTTTCAAATTGCTGTGGCTATTCGGGGTCTTTTTTGGTTCCATATGAACTTGTGAAGTATTTGTTCTAGTTCTGTGAATTATGTCGTTGGTATTTTGATGGAGATTGCATTGAATATATAGATTACTTTGGGTAGTATGGACATATTAATGATGTTAATTCTTCCAATCCATGAACAAGATATGTGCTTCCACTTTTTTATATCTTCCTCTATTTCGTTTTTCAATGACCTGTAGTTTTCTGAGAATAGGTCCTTTTTTTCTTGGTTAAGTTTATGCCTAGGTATCTTAATTGTTTTGCTGCAATGGTAAATGGGATTTTTTTTAGTTTATCTTTCTGTGAGTTCATCATTGGTGTATAAGAATGCCATCGATTTCTTGACATTAATTTTGTATCCTGCTACTTTGCCAAATGCATTTATTAAGTCTAGTATATTTTTGATGGAGTCTTTGGGTTTTCTATGTATAGTATCATGTCATCTGCGAATAATGAGTTTCACTTCCTCCTTTCCAATTTGGATCCCTTTTATTTTTTTTTTCTGTCTGATTTTTGTGGCCAAGACTTCTAGTATTATGTTAAGCAAGAGTGGCGAAAGTGGGCATCCTTGTTTTATTCGTGTTCTTAAGGGAAATGCGTTTAGTTTTTTCCCATTGAGTATGATGTTGGCTGTAGGTCTTTCATACATGGCCTTTATTATGTCAGGATATGTCTTCTATTCCCAGATTGCTGAGCATTTTTATCACA